TATTGTTTATCTTTGTTCGAATTTTATTCCAATTTCTGTTTCGGTGGCCCAACAAGTGCAAACTTCGGGTCTCCTAGTATTATGTATTTAATGATACTTTACTGAATAAAAGATTATTTGAATTGAATTGAATTGAATTTGAATATCTGAATCAACCAATCAAATAGCTGATCAGTCAGTCAACCAACCAATCAATCAATCAGTCAATCAATCAATCAACCCTTTAGCAGGCTCGATAACAGTGGCTCCGGCAAACTCATCACCAACTTCCACCTTGTGAACTGGAATTATGAACCCTCGTTCTTTTGCCTGTGGGACAATAACAACAATAATAATAATAATAACAACAACAATAATAACAGCCGCTAAAATTAACCCCTGACCTTTCGTAGCAGCTGTGACATGACCTTGATCTGCTGACCTCTAGACAGCAATGAACTCAAGGAGACGCCGGTTATTCTAGCCATCTCCATGTAATTTATGATACACATGAGTTTCTCGATGAGACGAAGAGGAAGGAGGGCGTCCTTCAGACAGTAGACGGCTAGACGTCTGCGCGTCTGGTCATTTCCATTCTGTTGGGTGAATGGTAAGTTGGTCGGTTGATTTGATTGCTGTTAGACTGTGTGATTGGCTGGTTGATTTGTTAGTAGTGGATTTCTATTTCAAAAATGATTAATTCATCAATCAATCAATCAATCAATCAATCAATCAATCAATCAACCAATCGACCGACAAAGAAACCTGCAAATCAGTGATGATGGAATGATGAACGTCTTCTTTCTGCTCTTGCAGGAAATGAAACGAGACGGCATTCAATCGGTACGACCTCAATTTGTGATCTCTTAATAAGACCTAGTTACGCGAGTGATTGGTGTTGGCCGTGTGGTTGGTTGATCACGTGATTTGTTGGTTGGTCATGTGACTGAATGATTGGTTGATGATTTGTTATTTGGTCATTTGAATTACTGTCTCATTGACCGATTGCTCGTTTGGACGAGTAGTTTGATTGACAAACCAATCGATAATTCATTAGCCAATCAAATTCATTCATAGATCATCTTGTTATCCAATCAAATTTATCCAGAAAATAATCACTAACTAATCAAATTCATTTACTAATCATCAGCAACCAATCAAACCAGCCCACAAATCAGCGGTAACCATTCAAATCATCTAGAAATCATCATCAAATCGGCCGACGAACCAGCAACAGATCAAACTGGACCCGCCCATCAATATTGATCGACTTATTTTCCCTCCTCCCCATCTGTTTTGACTGCAGTATATGACTTTTAACCTCTGACCTCACCCCTGTGATCCGACCCAGATAAGGAAAGTGCTTCAGTTTCAAGTGCTCAGCCCTCTTCAACAAGTAGGTCAGGTCAAAGTTCTGGATGTTGTAGCCTGTTATTATATCTGGGTCAACTTGTCTGACGAACTCCGCCCATTTCTACGAAGGCAAAAGTAGCGAAGATGTTTGATCAAACGAATGCATTTCAATAGGAAACAAGCTGAAAAAACTGAAAAATTCGTTTACATTTATGAGGTCAGCTTCTTTCTCGAAGCTAAGCACTTGGGCCCCTACAATGGGTGCGCAAGAGTTCAAGGTCATTACGTTTCGTATGAAGGGCTCTTTGTCTCCCTGCATGAATGATTAAATGAATGAGTGAACTGATGAGTGAATTAATGGGTGTGAATGAAAGAGGTGAATGGATGAGTGAATGAATGAGAGAATGATTGAGTGAATTAATGGGTGAATGAAAGTGTGAATGATTGAATGAGTGTGAATGAAAGAGGTGAATGGATGAATGAATGAATGAATGAATGAATGAATGAATGAATGAATGAATGAATGAATGAATGAATGAATGGCAAATGATACAAGGCAACCTGTTTGACAACAACATTAGCAATCTGGATGACTGAATCAACATTTGGCTCAGGAAAAATCCCTGCATAAATTAAACATTTTAAAAAATCAGATGGATGCAGGCCACAATTATTGGACCAATCAGATGATGGATTAAGCTCTCAAACCAATCAACATACCAACCAATCACCTGCCCATCTAACAAAACAATCAATCAACCAGCCAGCAATCAACCAATCAGCAATCAACCAATCAGCAATCAACCAATCAGCAAACCTTTCCTTCCAGCACACTCGATATCGAAGCTAAGAATCCTAAAAGGTGCCAACTTCAACCATTCACCCTCAACCGGATAGGCTATGACGTCACTTAACCTTACATCAACCTCGATTTGACATCTAGTTTTCTGTTTCAAATCATTATTTCTTCCGTCATCCGATCTCATTCTGTACTTTCCAGCCGGAATTCCCACCCAGCTGCAACCTTGAATGTCAAGGTCAACCATAAATCTGCGAGTTTTGATTGGTTGGTTAGTAATTAAAACGTTTCCTACATGCATATGCATGTGTTTCTATGTGAATATGCATTAAGCGTGTATATGTATGCATATGTAAGTTTAAAAGTGAATCTAAACAAAATTAACCTAGTATCAAAATCGACATTACTCTCAAATAATTTGAAGGGTGTTTGTGGATAGCCAGGACAGGTAAACCCCTGCTCCAGCAACTTCCTGGCTGTCCCCATCATGCTAGGCAGCAGTAACGAGATTTTTAGGAACTTTGAGAAAAATTTTCCTTGGTAGCCATACACATCTGGTACAAATATCAAATTTTAGCACAAAACACCAGTCATTAATTATTCTAAATTAATTTAGAAAATAACTTTTAATGGAAGCCTGTGTAAAGATGTAAAATATTGCCAATACAAAGAATGTAACTTATTTAAAATTTAAATTCAATTTTAGCTGACTTTTTTTCATAAGAACTTCGACACCAATAACCGCGTGGGTGGCATCCTGACTTGCCTTCATTGTCTTTATAGCTTTGTTGAAAGCTTCCTAAGGGGAAAAAGATCTTAAAATGAAAAATTAAAAAAAAAAACAAAAAAAATAACACCACAAACCCGAAATTGTTCACAATCTTCATCTTTAAAACCATCGGGGGCATAGACAAATAAATATGGATGAAAACCATGAACGTGGGCAGCTACACTATGGCCTTCCATAGTTACTCCATACATCGTTATTATGGGTATGTTATCTATACTGGATCCTGGTATGGCAAATACTGGTTTGCCTAGAAAAATAATTTTATAATAGGTATTTTTATTATATTATCAACTATATAAGGACTAGATTATTTTATGTTATTTGATTAGAATGGTTTTTAAAAATAATAAAAGATAACTTTTTATGTAGTTTATCTATTTACTTATATGATGATCAATATCAAACTGCTGAAATGTGAGAGAATCCTGATTAGGATGAAAATTATTAGGCAGAGGTGGCCGACACCAAGTCGCATTACAGCTGTCAATCTTATTTAATTCATCCATTTCCATCATTTCTTCTGAATTCTGAGTCACCATCATCATCTTTTCATCATCTTCATCATATTCTAACTCCATATCATAGACATCTTCATTGTCGTCATCATCATCTAGTCTAGAAAATAATTTCTTATATGATTATCATTATTCAATATAATTTATAATATAATAAATATAAATTTTATGTTTAATAAACATTTTATTGAATTATATTATATCTGGAGAAATAGAAAAAACATTCTACTGCAATGCAAACCTCAGCTTTTTAGCAGAACTTCCATTCATGATTTAGTGAAAAAAATTTTCTAAAATTATAAAAATAATTGTGATGAAGTTTGAAACAAATCAGTGAATTAAACTCCGGATTTTATTTAAACGAAATAACTATTTTCATTAAGAATCTAGCGCCATTTAATGAAAATTAACTTTTAAATCAGAAAAGATCTAATAGGGCAAGGCTATATAACTTCCTTGGCTGATTGGCGTACTTATAAAATTGCATGAACAAGCTATATGAAATATTTACTTGTCTTATTATGTCTAAAAAAGTTTAATTAAATCAAATTATATATTTTAAAACTATTTTTGTTAGTTTGAATTATAAGAATTGCTTTTTGTCCTACTGAAGCCACAAAAACATACTTTAACTTAACTAAATTCATTATAAATTTTAAAATTCTGAGCAATTTAATGCATTATGAAGCATGAAAATCAATAAATTACTTTTCAAACTTAACAATAAAACATGCTCCAGATGATGTGACGTTTTGAATTTTATTAAAATTGATAAATAAATAACATAATATGGCTAATATAAAAGCCCAATCCCCTTTAATTATCAACTAAATAAGATTAATTGTAGATTCTACCGAGTTATTTTCTAATGTCTGCATTTAAAATATGCGAAATTATTATCTTAATAAGCTTGGAATCGCTTATTGCAGGTTAACGAACACATAAAAACATACAATACTTAGTTACATTCACACATACATACCAAATTTGTATTATCGATTAATTAATTGGTTAATTACTTATAGAATTCAATTGTTTTCCCAGTGAATTGTACTTTTAACATCAATGTAGGGTATTAAATGTTTGAAATACCCAAATACCTGTGCTAATATTCATACCATATAGGATTACCACAAGACATACAGTCTAATTCGGTCTCCGCATATTCATTTTATTCACTTATTTAATATGTTGTTGATTATGAATAAACTTTGAAAATTTTGAAATAGGATTGCATGATTTGTTGTAACATTTCTACAATGTTTTCTTCACAGTCAAATGGTCTTATTTCGACAACGACGATGATGATGGTATGAAAGAGTGATTAAATACATACACCCACACACTCTCACACACAAATACACATAAATTCACACCCACACAAATTCACACAGCCGTAAATCCTTATCATTGGGGCGATATATACCCATCTTGTATTGGTCTAAAACAATCCCCAATCGATTTGAGATTGGATGAAAGTTCGTTCGATCCTGAGTTGAGTGATTTTGTATTCAGTAATGACTACTCACTGGCCGGCAATAATGACGTTCTAGTTGAAGATTTTACCAGTTGGTAGTAATTACGTTATTGGCACTAATAATTTTACTCGAAAGTATTTACTATTAGTTAGTAGTAGTACAACATCCGCAGCAACACACACACGCACACGCACGCACGCACGCACGCACACACACACACACACACACTTCACAAATATAGCCAAAGTGAAATTCAGAAAAAAAGATAAAACAATTAAATATGGAAATCTAAAAGGGGTATTTACCCTGAATGAAATCAATATCCACTGGGGTAGTGGCGATAACAAAGGGTCCGAGCACATGATTGGTGGGTTAAGTTACCCGCTTGAAGTAATTTTTACTATCCATTTATTTATTATTCATAATTATTATAATTATTATTATTTTTGCTGTTATTTATAATTTTGTGTTGAGATTATTGTTATTGTGAGTTTTTTGTTATCATTCAAAGAGTGATAATAAAAATTGATATCGATCGATGATCGATTGATTGGTTGATTTGTTTATTCGTTCGTTCGTTCGTTCGTTCGTTCATTCATTCATTCATTCACTCATTCATCCATTAGATCCAGCTGATACATTACGATGCATCTCGTTTCAAAAGTTTGAATGAAGCGATGAATGATTCTACGGCTCACTCTGTTGTCATTTTCGCTGTTCTTGCTCAGGTGAATGAATGAATGAATGAATGAATGAATGAATGAATGAATGAATGAATGAATGAATGAATGAATGAATGAATGAATGAATGAATGAATGAATGAATGAATGAATGAATGAATGAATGAATGAATGAATGAATGAATGAACGAACAAACAAGCGAACTAATGAACGAACGAATGAACAGCCAAACCAACAAATGATACTGTTATAAAACATATATATATAGCAGTAGATCCACCATTCAATTTTAATTTTAAATATTTCACAAGTTTTTTAAATTGGTCTCAACTTTTTTTTTATTTTCGGCGGGTTCCTCTAATTTAAACCCAAATATTAACTAACATGAAGCTGGGCGTAGAATCGAACACTGCTCTCGAGTGCCTGGTGGATTTTATAGAGGATATGAACGTAGCAGCTGGCACCCTCATGGTGAATGAAAACTTCAATCCCATGTTATTTTTACCTCGGGATAAATCTTATTACAGATATGAAGGTGAGTCGCATGTTTTTTTTCTTCAATCGCCCAGTCGAAGATGTTATCAATCAATAATCAATCAGTCAATCACTCAGTCAATTTGTCGACCAGTCAGTCAACCAGTGGTTTGTTAATCCAATCACTGTGTCATTAATCGATCAATTGTCTAAAAACTAAATAAAACCTAAACACTTAGGTTTTGACCAAGTAATTAACCAATCAGTTAACCAACCAAAAACCTAATCAATCAATCACTCAATCACTCAATCAATCACTCAATCAATCACTCACTCAATCAATCACTCACTCAATCACTCACTCACTCACTCACTCACTCACTCACTCACTCACTCACTCACTCAATCAATCAATCAATCAATCAATCAATCAATCAATCAATCAATCAATCAACCAATTAACCAATTAACCAATCAACCAACCGACCGATTATTCAATTTAGGGAGTTTAACGAAACCACTATGTAGAGAAAACGTCATGTGGACTGTTTTCAAAGAACCAATTAGCATTAAAATAGCGCAGGTTATGAAATATACCATTGTAAAGTATTTTGTATTTTATTGTACTGTGTATTATTTCGTATCGTATAAAATCGCATAAAATAATATTTTAAATAATTATTTTTTGTAAAAAGTTAGTGAAACTGAGAGAACTTGCCTATGAAAAGCATTTGATTAAAGACAATCATCGGCCACTTCAGCCAACTGGTAATCGCAAAGTTTCGAGAAATTTTGAAGTTTAGACGACAATTAGTTAAAATAATTTATTAGAAGTATCTTTCTACGTGTATTACATTAAAATTAATTTAAAATAATTTATTAGAAGTATCTTTCTACGTGTATTACATTAAAATTAATTTAAAATAATTTATTAGAAGTATCTTTCTACGTGTATTACATTAAAATTAATTTAAAATAATTTATTAGAAGTATCTTTCTACGTGTATTACATTAAAATTAATTTAAAATAATTTATTATAAGTATCTTTCTACGTGTATTACATTAAAATTAATTTAAAATAATTTATTAGAAGTATCTTTCTACGTGTATTACATTAAAATTAATTTAAAATAATTTATTAGAAGTATCTTTCTACGTGTATTACATTAAAATTAATTTAAAATAATTTATTAGAAGTATCTTTCTACGTGTATTACATTAAAATTAATTTAAAATAATTTATTAGAAGTATCTTTCTACGTGTATTACATTAAAATTAATTTAAAATAATTTATTAGAAGTATCTTTCTACGTGTATTACATTAAATTCTTTTATTAATTCGTTTGTTCGTTCGATCGTTCCCTGTTTATTAATAGTAATACGCGAGGAATATTTTTGAGGTGTTTAATAAAAATTTAATAGAAAATATTTTATATAAAAATTAAGTTAAATTGTTTTTTTGTTTTGTTTTTTGTTTTTTTTTTTTTTTATTGAGATAATGATGTGATATGACGACGTAATTAACTCTCCTAGGATTGAATGAGTGAATGAGACAAAATTAGCAGTGAATGAATGAAAGAAGAAGAAGCATTACAGCTGTGAAATTTTATAATAATGATTTTGATGTTTCCTGACCCCGGCCCTATCATTCATTTTTTCACTTAATCTTCCTTACATCTTCCATCATTTGAATAATATTTGCTGTTGTCGTTGTTGTTGTTGACGATGTCATAGTAGTTGTTGTTGATGGTGTCATAGTAGTTGTTGTTGCTGTTGATGGTGTCATAGTTGTTGTTGTTGATGATGTCATAGTAGTTGTTGTTGTTGTTGATGGTGTCAGTTGTTGTTGTTGTTGATGATGTCATAGTAGTTGTTGTTGTTGTTGATGGTGTCAGTTGTTGTTGTTGTTGATGGTGTCATAGTTGTAGTTGTTGTTGTTGATGGTGTCATAGTTGTTGTTGTTGTTCACGATGTCATAGTAGTTGTTGTTGTTGTTGATGGTGTCATAGTTGTTGTTGTTGTTGATGGTGTCATAGTTGTTGTTGTTGTTGATGGTGTCATAGTTGTAGTTGTTGTTGATGATGGTGTCATAGTTGTTGTTGTTGTTGTTGATGATGTCATAGTAGTTGCTGTTGTTGCTGTTGTAGTCGTCGTCATCAACGCCACAGGTAGGGCTGTAGTTTTGAGTTTTCTCAATTAACTCCCTGAATATATTCATACGTTCATTTAGTGGGGATTGAAAATCATGGCCACATCTCAGGTGCTTCATTATGACGAATAGGACGGCAGTTGGGAAGATTTTCAGGAACTGCTCACACTCTGCAACTAGATTGCGAATGCGAAGTTGTTGGTCCAGTTGGTTCGCTTTCAGTTTTTCCAGAACTCCTTTAATGGATGCAAAGAATTCATTCCTCGTCTTTAAAATTGTTGTCAGCTCTTCCAAAACCACTCCCTTCAGAGAAATGACGTCATTTTGAGATTCTTTGTGCCTTTTGTTTATTTCCTTCCTGATGTCATTTGTTGAAAATCTCAGTTGTTCGTATTTTTTATACAAGTCGTTTATTTTATCGTTTATTATGATGTCTGCAAAATTTTTTGGCACATTTTGTTGTGGTTCTTCATGATGATGATGTTGTTGTTGTTGTTGTTGTTGTTGTTGTTGTCGATTTTTAGTATTTTTCTCCCACTTAATGCCGTCCACGTAATTCTTCTTCATTCCCTTCAAGCCAATAAAATTTTTCGTTATTGATTTATTTTTAAAAATTTTCTGATTCTTTGAAACTTTATCACATTTTTTGAGGTCACTCTGTTTCGAATTCACACCTGATTTTGTCTTGTTAAATCTTTCTGTTTCGTCTATGGTACCATCGGCATTGACATCACTATTTGAAACATCATTTTCTGCCATCAATTCTCCGCTCTTTTCAATAACTTCCTCCTCCAGTTTCTCGCCACCAACAAAACAGCTAGCCTCGCCAGCGAAGGTCTTAGTGGGAAAAGTTTTATCTTCGATTTCAATCTTCTCAATTTCAAAATCAGTTTTCAAGACACCAGATGGCACTCCACTCTCTGAATCACTCATCTTCATCATCATCTTTTCACTCTCTATTCCATCGCGTTCGTCCGGCGTGTTAAATCTGACGCATTTAAAAACTGGAATTTTACTTGAGTGAGATGCTGCTGCTGGTGGTACTGCTGTTGTCGGTCTTATTGTTTCTTCTGCTTGCATTTGAACCCGGGATGATTCATCCTGGAGAAACGTAGGTGCTAATAACTCCTTAGTGTTCTGATTTGGTTCAGTTTGTAACTCGGATGTCGTTTTTTGTTTTGTTGCCTCGTCAGATTGCGTTTGAACCAGAGAAGTTTGCATCGAGTCAAGTGATAATAATTTTTTTGTATCAAATTCCTCATTCGAATCCTTTCCTTTTTCAATTGATATGACAGCAGCAGATAATTTTTGCATATCAAAACTCGTTTTATAATTGGATCTGAATGTAGTTGCTGCCGTGCAGGCATTGTTGTTCAGGTGAAGCCTTCTACTACTGCCGCTACTACAGCTGTTGTTGTGGCGAAGTTTCTTATTTGCTGCTGCTGCTGATGTTGCTACTGCTGTCGCCGCTAAATTCAACTTAAAATAGTTGGTTGTGGATTTTAGTAAACTCTTGTGTTTCAGACATGATGATATGGTTGGCTGGCAAGAGGTATATAACTATTATTAATAATTATTATTGGCGTAATTATATTATATCAATATTATCATTTTATTATTATTATTTTATTATTTTCATTAATTTATTATCACCTGGCAAAAATGCATGGTCGACTTTTTTCTAGAGCCAAATCTGTCCATTCTTCCATCATTCCCAACTTCATCATCATAAATTTCGGAAGCCATTATAATGATAATAATTGTTATTATTTCAGTTTAATTGTTTAATTATGGAATTATTTGTTAGAAAGAATTGTTATTAATATTATTTTTATTGTTGTTATTATTGCTGTTGATCTGATAATGACATTTGAAAAATGCTTAGGAATAAATAAATTTGCTAAATAAATAAATAAACGAATAACCAAAACAATAGATGACGTCACCTATACATATATATTAGTTACTTTTGTTTTGCTTATTTTTAATTTTATTTTGTTTATTTTTATTTTACGGAAAAAGTCGCATCATATTTTTAAGTTTATTTCTTTAAAATCCATATAATAATAAAAATGCTATATTAATAATAATAATAATAAGTATAATTATTGTAATCTTTGTCATAACATCAAAATAGCATAAAACACCTACAGCATCTATATTTTTATGTTAATGTTTTTACTGACAAAATTGCTACGGTTATAAGAGTCGCTAAAACCGATAATTTTAAAAATTTACAGATGTTCATAAGCGGCCAAAAAATTAAAAAAGTTTAGCGCTATATAAGGCGACCAAGGATGAAAATGCAAGGACCGATATTGTCAGAACATGTCTGGACCCTTCGCTCGAGAAACTTTTCGTGACAGGTTTCTTGTACTTTTGAACCGGTCTGAAATTGTTGTGCAGCTCGTGGGAGTGACTATCTTGAATTCTGAAGAAACTTTGCAACTGTTGTTCAATTGGTTGGTTAGTTGATTGACTGATCGAATGTTGGTTGAATGATCGATTGATTGGTTGATTGAACGAATTAATTAATTGACGAACAACTGATTGATATGTTGATTTATTTACTGGTTGATGGTTTGGTTGAATCGTTTATCGTTTGCTTGATCGGTTGATTGTTTGGTAGACTTGTCAGTCAATTCAGCGGTTGAATGATTGATTAGTTGGTTTGTTGATAAAATGTTTGATTGGTTGGTTGAAATGCAATAACCAATTTTATAATAATCTACTTGTTCTTTGGTGACACTGATTGGCTTCTGGAAAACTGTCCAAACGACAGATTCAGAACAAGGAGGCGTGGTCAAACTGCCCTGGTACCTGGTAATGAAGATGGTGGTGGTGATGATGATGATGGTGGTGATGATGATGATGATAATAATGATGACAAATAAGACGATGATTTGAGGTAATAAAATTATTAAACCAGCCAAACTGCAAAATCTTTTTTTTGGCCTACAAACTAACCAACCAATCAAAAAACCAATCAATCAATTACCTAACTAACCAACACACCAACCAGCCAATCAACCAACTAATCAATCAACCAATCACAACCGGCCAACCAACCTGAAATAATTATCGTGATTGAAAGGGAGAATGTCAATCAGTCGCATGTTATCAATCGTACAGTTTGAGCTCAACACCGTGGCGCAACTGTTGGCTTTTGAAAAAAAAATATGATCAAGCAATATAATTATGAATTTGTAAAAATAATTATTATTGTTATTATTATTATTATTATTAACTTACAAAGCCGATTGGCTATTTTCTCGATTACGACGTTTCCAACGGACTTTCCTGCCTTTTTAAATAATAATAATAATAACCATAATCATAATAATAATAATAATAACAATAATAACAACAATAATAATAATCATACTAATAATAACATTAATAATATTTATAATAGCAATAATAATAATAGTAATAATAATAAACCTCCACCTCCAGGAAAACGCCGATGACGGCCAGCCCGTCCTTGCTAGTGGCAGCAGATCCGATGTTGTCGTAGTTCAAATTGTAGTGCACCAAGTGGACCTTGTATGATGAACAACAACAACAACAATAATAACAACAATAATTGTTGTTGTTTAATTTGGACATTATAAACTTGTTGTTTGGACAATAATAACAATAATAATTGTTGTTGTTGTGATTATTATTATAATTATAGCCACGGAAAAAAGAATGTTTTAAAAATTGATAACGAATCAAGAAGAGAAACAAAGGTATTCAACCAACTACAAATGGTATCGACCTTAAAAAATTATTGACCTTCACCTTAAAGCAGTACAAACCTTCACCTTGAACCATCATTACGAACTGTAACCGTTTGAAACTAACCTCAGCTTGGTACTGTTTATTATTGAGGGTGTGCTCGGAGCCCGCGGACGAAGGCCCTCCCCAATGAAAGTGGAACTGGGCCAGTCTATATGTCCCTGGCAGACCACCTCCTGATACTGTAAGCTGAGCTGAACTATCTGGGGTCAACATCACTGGATGAATAAAATAGATGGATGGATTGATTGATTGATGAATAGATTGATAGATGGATCTATCGATAACCAAATAAATGAATGAATTTAGGTAGCTACAAATAAGTTGTGGAAAAAAAATACAAAAAATTCCATGGCGGAATTGTCTTGATAACAAACAATTTTTCAAACTTGAGTTCGACACGTTAAAAAAACCACACTCCTTTCAACTTTTCAGATAAAGTTTCTTTAGAAAAAAAAACACACGTCGCATATTTTTACGTCTGCTTTCCGTGAATAAAAATGTCAACTCAAGTGCATGTCAGTTAAATATATCAATCAGTCAGTCAAACAACCAATCAATCAATTAGTCAATCAATCAATTATTCAATCAATCAATTAGTCAATCAATTAATTAGTCAATCAATCAATTAGTCAATCAACTAACCAATTAGTCAACCAATCAATTAGTCAATCAATCAATTAGTCAATCAATCAACCAATCAATTAGTCAACCAATCAATTAGTCAACCAATCAATTAGTCAATCAATCAATTAGTCAATCAATTAATCAATCAACTAACCAACCAGACAGCCAATCAGCTTCTCATCCAACGAACAAAAATAACACAAACGTTATCAATTCGAAAAATCAAGTCCATAGAGCCTTGCAGATAAAGAAAGAGGAGACAAAGAAAGTAAAAGGATAAATAAAAGAATAAAAAAAAAACAAAAAATAAGAATAAAAATTGCGGGGGAAACTCGACTGTCGCATTATTATCTGAAATCGGTTCGGGTTACTCGAAACCCGGTATTCAGCTGGATGCCAAAAATCTATGCCATCACTAATACATACACTACTATTTATACCTACTTTATGTTTGTGTCAGCAGGTTTGTATATGTCTGTTAGTGTGTATGCGTGTGTATCAATTTATGTATGTATTTTTGTTTATGTTCGAATGCAATTTGTATGTATGTGTGTGTTTGCTATAACTTTATACGTGCGTGTTGTATGTGTGTGTGTATGTGTGTGTGTGTGTGTGTGTGTGTTTGTATGTGTGTTTGTACGTGCCTGTGTACGCATTTAAACTTTTGCCTACGTGTTAAATGCTATGTGAATCTGAATTAGGTTTTCATTTCAACATAATTATTCAGCTGTCAATGTATGTGCGCGCACACACACACACACAAACACACACACACACATGCATACATATTCACACACACGCGTACATATGTATGCACGCACATGCATACACAAATAAACACGCATAATTATCTGTAATCACAGTTTAACATTTGATCGGCGAACCATCAGCCGAGATAACAAATTGGTAAAAGAGAGAAAGAGAGAGAGAGAGAATGAGACAGAGGGAAGAGAGAGAGAGAATGAGACAAAGGGAAGAAAAAGAGAGAGAGAGAGAGAGAGAGAGAGAGAGTGAAGGAGTGGAAAAAAAAGGGAATGAGATAAATAAATTTAATAATGCTCTTAAAGAATGGCTTTAAACAGACATCCGATGAAGATGATGACGACGACGACGATGCCGTGTAAATTTAACTATAAGCTTGATATATATATATATATATATATATATGTGTGTGTGTGTGTGTGTGTGTGTGGTGGTGGTGTGTGTTGTGTATAATCATGGAATTGTTCTCGTTCTTTATCTCTTTCAGTTTGGTTAATACTATTGTTGTTTATTTCAGACTAGTTGTTTTATTTCGATCATACTATTTTCAGTTATTTAGAGTTGGTTATATTTTGGTTATGATTTTGTTGGGGCATAGGAACTTTGGTTCGCGCCCTTTATTTGAACTATTATGTTATGTTATGATGATGATGACGACGATGATGACGATGACGACGACGATGATGATTGTATATGTATATACACATATTGAATGGGGTAACTATATAATTGTTTCCTCACAAACCTTATCAACCAGCCAATGAAAAAGCTATTAAATACTATTAAAAACATCATTTAGGGTTCATCTGTATGTATGTATATGTGTGTGTGTGTGTGTGTGTGTGTGTGTGTGTGTGTGTGTGTGGTGTGGTGGTGTGTGTGTGTTGTGTAATAATCATGGAATTGTTTTTCTGGTTTGATGTATTTTATGATTTGACGTGACGAGGACACCGTTATTATTGTGTTGTGTTTGACACATACACACACATACACACACGTACACACACATGCACACACAAACAAACACACACACAAACAAAGCGAACAACACCATTACCAACAACAACACCGACACACAACAACAAAGATACCTGAGTGTCCATTATTTGACAGATTATACTTGAACGTATAATTGAAGTAATCGGGACTGAATATAAACTGGCCCAGCTCTTGGTCATGCTTCGATTTACCGATATCGATATTAATCGGTGACTGCTGGCTACCTGATCTGCATAAGCTGCCCCAGTGGTTCGGACCGTCTGCTCATTAGCATAATTTATTCATATCAGTAACCCGAACTAATTAGCATAGTTATCAATCAAATTATCAATAGGTTAATGTTTCTCTGGAGTCTGCATAACGTTTAACTAATTTATAATTTATTCATGTTAATTTTTAAAACGACATTTGAATAATAGATATCCAAAATGACATGAAGTATGAAATTTGATGACCCGTTCATTTAATTAACATAATTTATGCTAATTAGTGGCCATCCCTATGCTAAGTAATGAAAGAATTTTTTAATTAATATTCAAAATTTACAAACGCACTCTCTCCAGTATAGCTCCAATCACCTGGAAAGGTGAAAATGAGAAAAAAAAGTTATGACGTCATGTCTATTATTGTTATTATTATTATTATTATTATTCTAATAAAAAAGAATTCCTTTAAATACCTGATGACGACACCAAAGGAATGTGGATCACAAAGATTAGAATTGACAGCCTGTATACATTCAACGCCATCGGGTTTTTTATTAGAGTTTTTCTTTGCTTGTGAAGAAAATATTTTATTTGTTTGTTTGTTTCCTTGCTTGTTTGTTTGTTTATTTATTTGTCTGTTTGTTTTATCTTATCCATCAAAATTATTTTAAAATGTCAATCATATATATCTTTGGAAATTTAGCGTTAGTCAGATAACAAACACTTGAACTTGTAAACTAGTCAATCAAAAAACTAGTCAGATGAAAAAAACATTGATTGAATAAATGAGTGTAAGAACAAACAAACAAACAAACAAACAAACAAACAAACAAACGAACGAACAGACAAACAAACAAACGAACGAACGAAAGTACGAACGAGTGAATGTAAACAATTGCTTATGAGTGAATTACTTCATTTGCTCCAGTGTAATAATAACACTTTATCATAATACGATATGATTCAACAAACAAGACAAACTAGACAAACACACCCAAACAAACAAGCAGGTACACACTTAACTCACTAGAGCACTAAATTTCTATTTGGAAAGCAAATTAATTCTTAAACAAATTGATTTTAAATTCACTTTCAATTAAATTCAGTGAATGAATAAACTCGGAAACCCTCCACTTCACGCTTGATATCCTGGACATTAATTTGCACAATCAATCAACCAATCCATCAGTCAACTAGCCAACCAATCAATCAGTCAACTAATCAACCAATCAATCAGTCAACTAATCAACTAACCAATCAGTCAACTAACCAACCAATCAATCAGTCAACCAATCAACCAATCAATCAGTCAACTAACCAACCAATCAATTAGTCAACTAACCAACCAATCAGTCAACTAATCAACCAATCATCCTATCAATCAATCAACCTATTAATCAAGCAATAGATCGATTGGTCAATCACTACTCAATCAATCAGTTGGTCAGCCCGTCAGTCAATCAATCAATAAATCAATCTTCAATGTTTAAGTTTCTTGTAAGTATAATAATAACAAAAAAATATATTGTATGGCGTCAACTATAACAATAATGATGATGCGAAAGCAATTAATTTCACCAATAAAAAATTTAATGGGCCATTGAGTAAACCAATTTTACAGAGTTATTTATTTACTTAGGATAATTAAAATTATTAATGATAATAATAATAATAATAACAATAATAATAACAATAATGATAATAATAATAATAACTCAACAACAATTATTATAAAGCTGTTCATTATTGCTCTTTCACTAATTGTTACATAACTAATTTAACTAATAAAAATACTACTACTTCTACTTCTACTACTACTACCACTGCTGCTGCTACTGCTGCTTCTGTTGCTGCTGATAATAATTCTCTCCCGGGTCGAAAAAATTTGCTATTTCAGTACGTATGCGGCCCTTCAAAGCAAAATGTTTGCCCAACTCCGCAACTCAACACGATGCAATTTACATCATTACATCGGTGCTGTAAGGTGTTAGCTTTGTAAAACGTTCAAGACTCAATAAGTTAATACCTTTTAGTATATTGAGTCAGTAATTAATGTTAATTAGTTGATTAATTAATGTTAATTGATTGATTAATTTATGTTAATTGATAGATAAATTAATGTTAGTTAGTTATAGTGGGTGTGTGAGTGAATCGTTTAATTATAATGTTACATTGGCATGGGTTTTAGTCAGTAAGTAAGAGGAGACAGATAGACAGACAGATAGATTGATAGACAGACAGACGGAAAAAAACAGAGAAAAAAGAAAGAGACAAATTAAAAAAAAATTAAAAAAAAGATAAATGAAAGAATGAGAGAAAGAATCAAAAATAGAGTAAGAAGAAAGAGAGAGAGAGAGGGGGGAGGGAGAGGGAGGGAGAGACAGATAGAGAGACTACTGAGACAGAAAGAGAGACAGAAAGAGATGTATTTTCTATATGAGCCTCTGATAAGATGTGACAATATAAATTTATGTACACCCAATAAGCAAAATTAACTAAATAGAGTTCTAAAAAAAAATAATTATATAATTATATAATTAATAATAATAATTGAATAATAAAAATAACAAAAACATGCTCACCGTAGACTTTTGCTGATGGAAAAAATGGAAATAGAAAAAAATTGCTAGAATGAAAATATATAACGGTTGAAAACATTAAAATTTCGTGGGATTATAAGGCCACAACTTACTAAACCCCATATATATATATATATATATATATATATATTTGTTTGTTTGTATGTATGTTTGTATGTAAGTGTATATACGTTGTATGTATGTATGTATATATACGTTGTATGTATGTATATATATACGTTGTATGTATGTATATATATGTGTATGTATATATGTATGTATATTTGTATACATGTATGTATATATGTATGTGTTATTATTATAAGAAAACATGTGTAGCGACCTTCTATAGAACTACCCAAAGACGCTATCCGACATTACCAAAAAATAAATTTGTTCCATTTAAGGGGTCAAACAAAAACATTAATATTTCGAAAGTAGAAATAAAATAAAGATGTCATCAACAAATAATCAATGAATATGATTCCATAAGACAACTCAAACACACTCACAAAAAACCACCCACCACTACCAATATACACACACACACACACACGCATCAAACAACTCCAGCAAACACAAGTACAAATACAATTAGAATGTGTGTTTGTGTTTGTCTTGTGTGAGTGTGTATGTGTAAGTGTGTGTGTGTGTGCTTGTGTGTGTGCGCGTGCCTGTTTGCTAATTGAGATGTTTAAATTAATAAAATACTTCATTGATTTTATTAACATAATCGTAATAAATTTTTATGACGTCATCAAACATCATCGCTATCACCATCATCTTTTCATCATCATTTTATTTTTCATCATCACTATCGTCATCATCAGCACCACCATCATCATCATCACTATCGTCACCATCATTACCATCATCATCACCAACGTCAAAATCATCATCATTACCAGTGGTTAAACCAAAATAAACTTATTATGGAAACGAGTGATGCGAATAATTTAATGCGACAATTGGTAGAATAAATATTTGAATAATTAAAATATATGCGTGTATGTCTGTATGTATATATGTGTGTCTGTGTGTGTGTGTATCTATGGGTGCGTGTGAGTGTATGTGTGTGTATGTATATGCATGCATGTATGTATCATTATGTAATTATTATATTATGATGATGTCACTTTGATGATATTGTAATGAAATTTATGAATCCATAGTATTAGATCAAACTTGGCAAAAAAATGCAAAACAAATTAAGCTTTTTGGTCCTAATTGTTTAACAAGTGTTTAACTAATTTATATACCGGTCGCTATATAAATCACTTATTATTTGTATTATTATTAATGTTGTTGTTGTCTTTATTATTATTATTATTATTATTATTATTGTTATTGTGTTATCAAGATCACAACTTTAAACTTTCTTAATGAAGAATTAACAAGAAAAAAAGGTTTTGTTAGCACTTAGTAAAAATTATGTGAGAAAGAGAGAGAGAGAGAGAGAGAGAGAGAGAAAGGAGGAGAAAAAAGTAAAGAAAGAGGAAAAGAAAAGAGAGAGAAAGTGAAGAGGGAAACAGAGATAAAAAGAAAAATAAGTTTTTTGGTTTCAAGATCCGCATATAAATTTGAATGCATACACTTAAAATCAACTTAGACACTTGCAAATGTCTAGACTGCTTTACGATTGTTTGTATGTTTGTTTGTTTGTATGTACGTATATGTTCGTGTATGTATGCGTGTATGTGTGTGTTCATATATGTATGTTTGGTATTCTTGTTCCCGAGTTTCATTTACAGAGTGAAAATGATGTTTTGTTTACACAGAGTTAGACTGACATCTATCGATCACAACCTATTTTATTACTTAATAGTTAACAAAACATGTTAAATAGTAATATTATAGAGTTAAAGTTACAGTTAAAGTTAGAGATAAATAAAATGCTTATCGTATATAAAGTTATGAATCATAGTTATAAGTGCCAGTCAATGATAATATAGCATTGTAAATACACGTCTCAAGAACGTCTAAGGTAATAGTTTTTGGTCTATTTTTCCTCTTTGGAGTCACTTTCATCTTTCGGCATAGTGCGTTCGCTGCTCTGGTCATCAAATAGTTTATACTTTTCCAGCATTGGACGATTCCTCCTCAGAGTATCATGGCGAGGGTGGGGATGATCCAACATCATCCTTCTTCTCTGTCGTTTGATGGCCTCGTCGAGGTCAAAATCTGCTGAAGTAGCTAGTTGCTCCTTTTCCTCATTGATTCGAGACCTCACTTCCTTCCATATCATCTTCGGCAACATCAAAACGAATTTTCTTAGGTTCTCCGAGATTTTTCGCTTTTTTGTCCGTTCAGTCTTAATACGCTCTTTCGCCTTCTCAGAGTCATCCTCTTCTACCCCTTCTTCGGTGATGCCATAACGAAGTCTCTCAACCCTACTCGTCAGCGGCCTGCTCACACTCACTGTTTTTCCTTTTTTCTCTTACTTTGGAGAAGGGATCTGAGTGGGTTAATGGCTCCCTGGCTGAAAATCTTTGGTGTGGATGTGCACCACCCACTGCAAGGAGGGGCTCTCACAAGGGGTGAGACCTTTACAACTGGAGACTTCTCCACAACATTTGGACTTTTTATCTCCTTTACATAATCCCGATATATGTGAGGTTTGTTGAGCAGGTATGACTTGAATTCAGGTGATATGTACTCGCCACCAGTGTTCACCAATCGAAGATTCTTCGGCCTGTAAACATTATGCAATTTATTTTAGAATTAAATTAATAAATTTTAAGTTATAAAAATATATATCTGTTTGTAAAATAACGTTTGTATGTAATGATGTAGTAGGAATTTAATAAATGAAAGTTAATAACAAAGAGATAATAACCTATCCGAATGGAACTCACTGCGTCTTAAACTCATGGCGGTTCCTTTTTTCTCCATTATAGGTCTTGCGCTGAAAAATTAACTCAACAATGGCAAAATTTCTAATCTAAATTTCCTGATGATGTTTAGCAAATTGAAACTTTCTGACAAGTGAAGTCTTACATCTCCTTATACTCGTCGGTTTATCGTAAAATTTTTTATTTCTTTGTTTGTACGTGCAAAGTGAATTATCGTAAATAAAAATTATTATCTGATTAATTATTTAACAATGGCTGCTTAATAAAGTCAATTTTACGATAGATTTCTATCATCATTTAAGTTATAATTAAAACCAATAAAGTTCTTTCTACAGGTTCTTTCATTATTCCCTTTTTTGATTTTATGATCGGTTTTTAAAATCACGACGGAGTAGATTATTTTTATAACAAACATTAAAGTATTTTTATGATTTCATTTTTGGTTTTAACTAATTAATTAATTAATTAATTAATCTTTTTGCGGTTGTCATTAATCTACGTATTCGTGCAAGACATGTTGACGAGTTATAAGTAAAAAAATAATTAAAAAAAATTCGGTCTTTAACCAATTGGCTAAAATTAATTATAAACTTTTTGCCCTACTCGGCGTTTTGTTACTTCTACTATAAACTGCATCTAAATCTGAATAATTATTTTCTACCACACTGCTACTTTACAACACTTTTGTCAATAACAGCTGGACCTAGATAATTTATATTTTCTAAATTTGTTCACAGTTTTACAATTCTACGATAACCAGTACTACTGCTACTGCTGCTACCACTACTTCTAGTGTAGCTACTACTACTGCTGCTTATGCTGCTGCTACTACTATTACTACTGATAATGGTGGTCGGTGTAAACGATGTTATGTCAACAATTCCCGCATCTTAAATTAAGTAGAGTTTTTTTCCCATCGACACGACAACACGAATGCAAATCTTGAAGCATTTTAAAGAACTACAAGCATCTGGTGATCACAATTTATTCATCATACATTTTTTTTGCAATTAAAAGGAAAAAAATTTTTCGTTAATATCGAAAATATATCACAATAAAATACAAGTATTTCACAACAAAATCAAATAAATAATCTAAAATACGATGGTGATAGTGAAAATATATGTACAATCACATGCAAGGTGGTAATAAAAGCCAAAAATTTCATAAAAATTTTAAATAGGAATGTTATTACAATTAGCATTCGGACGGTGAACCGGATTCGATTGTGTGAGTTGGTGATGCCTTGTTTCACAAGGTGTTTGTCGCCGGTGCCTGTGAGAATGCTAAGACGTAATAAATATATACAATTATATAGGTGAATCCAATATAGCATTTTCAAATGCAATATCTCCATCTTATCACCTCAAACCAGCCTACGCGCGCAATTTCTCATTTTCTGATGTTTCTTTTCAACTTTTTCAGGATCTGCTTTTGTTTCGTTCTTTGTGTATTTAGAGAGCTGATCGATGTACCTTTCATCAAGCATTGGAACGTAGCTAGCTGGTGTACAATGGCAACGATGGTGTTGAAAAAATTCTTTGTAGCCATGTTCTAGGAGGTATATTTCTGGGTAGACGAGTTGAGGGTAGTTGTCGCCATTAGCTTCGCGATCCCTATTTCTAAGATAGCGATTCATTTTCGGACCTCTTTCTGAAGAAAACTCACAGTGGAATATTATTATCGACCGTTTGTTGCGCTCCCTGCTTAGATATTCGTTGCTGTTGTACATCAGTTCGTTTATTACGGCTTGCTTCGTGTAGAGGTTGATGGCGCCTTTTATGTGGCCACCTTCGTATTCGTACGGGTATCTACAGTCTACGATGGTGTAGCGACCTACAACTTCACTGTAGCCACCACGCAAAACGTCTACCAGCGTCTGATGGGTGATCGCTTTCAGATCAGAATGTTTGCCGCGTTCGATGAGAGGCAGACAGTAGGGCTTGCTGAAGTCGGCGATCAAATTCGTCTGCTCGTTTTCGTTGTCTAGCATTGTGTATATTTTTGATTTTTCTTGCATCGATTGAACCTTTCGCAGAGTTTCGTTGTGCTGATTGGGGTCAATAAACTGC